GCCCAGTCACCTAAGGGTTATTTCCAGCAGCGTGGGTAATACACAGAGCTATTCCCACAGCTCCCTTCAACACCAGCATCAAGCTGTGGAAACTGCTGGTTCCCAACCAGTGCCAGACAAGCCCCAGTTCTGCTGGGGGGGGAAGAAGAAGTGGGGTGGAAGGTGGGTCTGTTTACCCCACTGACTCTCCCTGGCCAGGGGCCAGGCCTTAAACAGGAACCGTCTGGTGCATCTTCCAAGGAGTTGTCCCAGCATGGAGCTGCCTCTTGGCAAAGGGAGACACCAGCTTTCTCTGTTGCTGGGGCCAGGAGCAGCTCCACACACACTCCCTCCAGTCACTGCTTCGTTGGTGGCCTCCCTGGCTGAGCCCAGCCCCGGGTGCACACGGGGGAACCATTTTAGGCTCCGGTGACAGAGACATCAGCAAACACTGCTATAAATAGTGGTGTTGAAGGAACGAGATGGTCAGGCTGTTCAAATCCTGGCACAGCCCCACTGGTGCTGATAGCAAGTGCCCTTTGCTTGTTCTCTTGCCGCCAGGTCCTCTTATCTATTCTTCCAACCCTGGGTGTTTCTGTCACCAAGTCCCCTGCCCTGACATTTTAGCCTCCTGGGATGGCTGCAAGCTCTTTCTCATATTTGTTGGCCCCTCTTCTGCGCTCCAGGAAGGAGGTCAAACAACATGTGCTGCAGGGACGTGGTGGAGCACAGCCTGGGACCCCTCCTGGCCAGCACCACGGGGCTGGAGGGACAGCCCTGTGCTTGCATGGCCTCAGCACCCTGGGCCCTGCTGCTGGGTGTGCAGGCATCCCCAGGGACATACAGGGTTTCACTCTTCTCAAGAGCATTCCTGGGTTTCTGTTTGTCTTCTGCAAGGAGCTAAAGTATCCTCCACACCTGATGTTACCTCTGGATCATTCTGATCTCTGTTACCATGATGGGGAAACTGAGGCAGAGATTCAATGTACATGACAACCAGGAGAGCAGAGCCCACATTCTGCCTGACCTCCCTGCCATGCAGCTGGTCATCAGGGGTGTCACACCCTCACCAAGAAGCCCCACAAGAGTTCTTGGAGTTAAATTCTGGATTCCTCATGAAAAGCAGTCCTTTCTATTCCAAGGCTGTGATTACCTTGTGAACATCTGCACTGACAATGGCTGAGTGGCAGAACCATTCTCCAGCAGCTCTGCCTCCGCTTTCTTCTCCTCCATGTTCTTTCAAGCACCCTCATTGCAAAGCCCCTTTGATGCCCGATGAAGGAAAAAGCTCAGGAAACAGGCAGCAGAAACAAAATCCCAGGTTTCCAGCCAACCAACGACAGGATATCACAGACCCAACTGCACAAACCTCCCCCTTCCCTCCCCGTGTCCCTCTGGGACCCACTGGCTCCTTGGCCCCACCACCAATGCTGATCCCCAAGAGTGACTTAAGTCTTGGGGCCATCTTTGCATGAACATCAGAAGCAGATCTTGGCTTTGGCATGGACATCCTGACCTCTCAGGGCTGGGTGGGCCCACCTGGACTTTCACTGGTGCATAAAGGGCCTCATCAGTGCTGGGATTTGATTTCTTTTTTCCTCCAGGCATCTCGTGGAAGAAGATGCAGGATTGGGGATGGTCACAGAGAACACATTCCAGCAAGCAAGGCTGCACAAGAACACTCTTTGCTGAGGGCCAACCATCCCTTAAATGAACACCCATAGCAGAGATGCTGCCCTGGGGCCTATGGGACATTCCTTGGCTATATTTGGTGACAGATGGAGAATTTGTTGCTTCCCCTTAACCCATCTGTTCTCCTTGTTGGCAGGGAGGAGCTAACCCCAGAGCTGCAGTGTCGCTATTCGGATGAACCCGGTACTTCAGCAGCAATAAATCTCTCAGAAGCTTTTTGCTGCCTCCCACCTGTTGGCTGGGAGAAGATCAAGTTGACAAAAATCTCCTGCCAGATTGTATTTTCATCCAGGGTTTCGTCACGAGTCCAGGTTACAATAAAAGCCTGTTCAGAAAGCAGAGGGAGCTAGCTGGATCACAGCACATCTCTCAGCTCTGGAATCCTGCCTCTCCCACAAGTCTCCAGCTCCCAGGTAGCTGCTTTTATTACATTTTCTCAATTCCCTTAAATCCCAAAAGGCCTTTTTCCTTCTCGTCAGCCCCACCCCGTCATCATAAAACCTGGGAGGTCCCAAGCAGGGACCCCAGACGCTCTTGCTGGTTGCACCAGGGAGCCAAAATACCCATTGTGAGAAGGGCAGCAGAGAGAGCCAGGCTGGGACCAACACAGTTTATTACAGAAAAAACACCCGGAGGGATTTCATTACCATGGCAGTCCAGTCACCAGCAAAACCACCGGCGGACAATGAAGTGAAACCCACAGCAACAACACACAGCAGGGAAGTCCAGTCACAGGCCAGCACAGCACAAAGAAGCACAACCACACCAGCCCATCAGGGTGGGAGATGTGCCCAGCCCAGCCAGCCCATCCTGGGGACCACATCACTCCCCCGGCCTCAGGGGATGGCACGGGTGGGCACACGAGGGAAGCACACAAGCTCCAAATCCACCTCTGCCTGTTGTGGTGATGAAGGAGGGGAAAAAATTATATAGGAAGCCAAGCAGATAAAACTGGGGCAGTCACTGCAGGAATGGAAAACCCTCCCCACACAGGAAAGGCTCAGGAGGGGCAAAGGGAGGTCTGCCTCAATCTGGGACCCGTTTCCCAAGCCCCATGTCTTCCATCAAGCCCCTCAGCTGCGCTGGCAGCAGCAGGACCCGCAGCAGAACCACTAAACCTCCTGCCTGTGATGTGCTCCTGCCCCCACAGCTCCCTGCACAGCTCAGGGTCTGGAAAGGCAGCAGTGAAAGCTGCTGAGATCCAGGGTCCTGCCCCAAAACCACAACACATCACTTCCCAGAAGCCAACAGCACCTTCAGACAGAGCTTCTCCTCCTGCTCAGCCCAGCCCTGCCAACATCCCTCATCCAAAGAGCACGTCCCCCGTGGCACCCGGTGCCAGCAGTGCCTGTGCTTGCACCCTGTGTCCCATCCATCCCACCAGCACCCTGCCCTGGCTCGGGGTCCCTCAGGGCTGGCTGACAACCCTGCCCCTCTAGCAATGTCCCTGGGGGACACTGGGGCTGGCAGGAGGCCCCAGTGCAGCCCGTTTGTGAGCTGGGCTTGGCTGGGCTTCCACCATGCGATCTTCAGGAAACACCTTGGGAATGTTTACTGGGAGGCCAGGCTGTTCTCCCCTTCCCAGCTGCTAAAAAGGTCTCTGAGATACAGTTCAGGTCCCAATATCTGGGATTCACATTAAGAAGACAAGAGCTTTTTATAAACCTGTATATTAATAGACAAATTACTCAGATAACTCGTTTCTTTCAAGACTTTCTTTGGATTTTAGACCTTCCTCTAAGGTGTCCGTCACCAGATGTGACAAACAACAGCCTGGAAAACAGCCTGGAGGGGGGGGAAGTGCAAATTTCTTTTCCACTGCTAGAGCAGGATTTAGTGCAATGAGGAAAGAGTCTCCTAAGCCACCCAAGGCATCACTACCTTGTTTAGATATTCACCAAACGTGCAGCAACTCCAGCTCCAACCTTCAGCCTTTTAGCTGAAACCTCCCAGCAAAGCTCAGGAACCTTCAGCCCACGGAGCTGGTGTTTGTGGGAAACTCTCTGATAACACCAGGCATCCTTCATGCCCAACCAGGGGGGGGGTACTGCCTAAACAAGCAAACAAAAAAAACCCCACCAAAACACACAAAAAAGAACCTTTACATTTGTCTCCAGGGACTGTCCTTTGGGCCTGGGCTTTGTGCAGAAAGGTCCGTGGGATTTTTCACACCCATTTCAGAGCAGCTGCCCCATGATGTCCTGTTTCACCAGCAGAGATTTGGTTCCTCTCCCAGCATCACCAGATGAGGTGGCTATTTTAGGAAACACCAACAGTTTTAGAGCTGAGGAGGAAAAGATTATCAACTCATATGGGCTCAGCTTAAAGAGAGAGAGAGAGGAGGGAATAAAAGGCCTTTAATTAAAACCCCCAGGCTGAAATTCTCTGCAAATTTACCTAAATGGACTTCAAATGATGTCCCTAATATATTAGGGCCTGCTTTTAACTTCATTCAAGCCCCAGGCATGTGTCTGCAGACCCTGGGTGGCTCAACAAGAGCTGGGCTTCGGATGCCTCACTGAGATGATTATTTCTAAGTGCTAACTCATGCAACTGTGAAACCCCAACTGAAAACCCTGAGCCAACAATACATTCACCCAAAGCTCCAAGCAGGGAGCAGAATTATCATTATGAATTTATCTATTTTAAAAAAATATTTATGCGTTTGTTTCCCTTCTTCTAAATGTTAATGCTGTTCAAGACAAAATCTTGGTGAAAGGACAAGAGACATGAAAGATTTTCTGGTTGGGGAGCAGGGGCTTGGTCTGTGAAGGAACAATATCATGGTTTAATTTTAGTTCAAAGGGACAACATTTTGTTTCAATGCTCCAAGAAGGGCTGTTTGGGCTTTTTTGTGTGTGTGTGCTCCCAACTTTCCAGTTCAACATTTGCTTTGTAAATCAAAAGGCTTTGGGAATCACCTGGGGTTTTAGAGAAACACCAAATAGGTTCAACCTGCCCGGCACAAACAGTCCACACAAGGGAGTTCCATCCTGGAGGAACTTTGCCTGAAGCAAATGCAGAGCTTGGAAACACAGGGAAACGGCTCCTGGGACTGCCCAGTGCAGGGAAACCTCCAGCCCCACCAGGAACAGGGGACAACTCCACGACATTGCAATGACACAGAGGCAAAAGGAAGCCCTTTGTCAGCCCCCTCCTCCATCCGTGCCCCTGCTGAGGTTCCCGCTGGGCGTTAACCTGGTGATGGGCATTAACCTGGTTAGGTTAATTAACCAGGACAAACACTCTCTGCCTTGCAGAGCCCAAACCCAGGTGGGACGTGGTGCAGGGGGTGAGGGTTGTGCCTCCCACGGGGGCTGCAGGACCAACCAGCTCCTCTACTTGCTGTTGGGGGTCGACTTCTCCTGCGCCGGCCGCTTGGGCTTCTGGGCGATGCCGTAGGGGACGTGGGCAGCCACGGTGCCCAGCTCCTTGGCACCCTCCACGTGGAACATCTGGTCATCAAAGAAGATGTGAGGACGGATCTTCTTCAGCAGAGGCCCCTTGGGAGCCCCGGCCAGGAACAAAGCCTCATCTGTCTCCAGGCCCCAGCTGCGCAGAGTCTTTAGGGCGCGGGCGCCCGAGCTGGCAGCGCTCCTGGCAGTCACCAGGTAGGTACGGATGGGACACTCCATCCTCAGCCCTTTGGAATAGAACTTCTTCTGCAGCTTCCCCAGGGCTTCCAGGAAACCCTTCAGGGGTCCCTGCCGGAGTGAGAAGAATCCATCACTTGGCTGACCCACCGTGTGGTCCCTTCCTCCAGACACCCCAGCCCAGCACAGCCAGAGGTGCTGGGTAACCCCCTGTCCCTGTGAGCCCCCAGGAATGACTGTGGCTCAACCAGAGCCATCCCCTGGGTCAGCAGCACCATCTCCTGACCCATCCCACCACGCTCTCCCACACGCCAACCCTGGAGCGTTCCCAGAGGCAGGAGCATCCCCGCAGGCTGTCTCTCTCTCTCTCCCCCAGAGGCTTCCTCTGGCTGCACCCCAGCACTACCTGTGCCAGAGGCTTGTTCTCGTGAGCCTTTTCGTGCTCAAAGAACATGTCCAAGCCATGAGCCTTCACGATCTGCTCCGACTCGTCAGAGAAGAGCACAGCGTCGCCATCAAACGCCACCCGCAACTGGTTCTCTGACACCTCCAGGTCTTTGCTGGGGCTGAAGATGGTGGCTGCAGCAATCCCTGGGGAGACAAGGTGTGAGGCAAGAGGTGACAGTTACCCAAGGACCCGTGGCTCATCCCTCGAGGAGCAGAGCAAAACACGACGGGCTGGAAGGAAACGCTGCAAGGAAACACCCACACCCAGCAGTGCCTGCAGCCTGGCCCCGAGACCTTCCACAGGAAAACCAAATCCCTGCGTGACCAACCCCCCTTTGCATACAAGAATTAATGGGGAAAACCAGTGTCTGTGCCTTGAAAGAGCTGTGGAGCTGAAAGAAAGCCTGATTTCTATGGAAACTAGAAGCTCTTTTAGAGCAGCAAGGATGGGCTGTGGGACAAGGCAGACCCAGCTGCACATTGATGCAGAGTTAGGGACATTGGAGCTATCACTCCTGGTACCAACCCCCTGAGGGCTCCAGGCTCTTCCCACTGACCCCCCCCAAGCTGGACCCCAGACTCACCCTCTTCAATGGCCCCACTCACTTTCTCGGCGTCAGAGGAGAGGTAGAGGTTGGTGTGATAGGCCTTGAGGTAACAGATGGGGCTGTTCCCTCCAGTCATGCAGAATCTCTCAATGAACAGACCTGAGGGTAGATGGACCTCAGGGTGAGCCTGACTGACCCCCAAACAAGCCTTGACAACACCCCCCTGTTGCCCCCAAAATTAAGCAGGATGGAGGTGAGACAAGAGGAAACGGCCTCAAGTTGTGCCAAGGGAGGTTTAGATTTGGTCTCAGAAGATATTTCTTCACTGAAAGGGTAATGAAACACTGGAATAGGCTGCTCAGGGAGGTGGTTGAGTCACCATCCCTGGAGGTGTTTAGAAGCTGTGTAGATATGGGGATGTAGATATGGGGACATGGACTTGATAAGAGCTGGGTTAATGGCTGGTGGAGCTGGGTTATGGTTGGACTCAATGATCTTAAAGGTCTTTTCCAACCAGAACTGACTCTATGAGTTTTGGTGCTGGCACCAAACAGCACACCTGGCAGCCAGAGCATCCTCACCACCACCCAACTTCCACTCAGAGCCCAGGAAAACTGGGAGAAGCACCTGGTTTGGTGGAAGAGACCGGAGAAACCACGTCCTGCCCTCACTGCCAACCCACAACACCACCCAAAAAAAAAAAGCAGCCCCCACAGCTTTGCCCTCAGCTCACCGTAGTGGTTGATGCTGTTGATCAAACGCACCCCAACCTGGGCGTGGTTGTTGGTCATGAGGACGATGTCAAAGAGCTCCTCACTCTCCGGGTAGAGCTCCCGCAGCTGCGTGTTCACTGCCTCCAGTGCCTGCAGCACCCGGGGGGGTTTGGGGGTCAGTGAGCCCCAGACATGGCCCTGACCCCCCCTCCCCAACCACACCCTGAGCCAGGCTGACCTCAGCAAGAAGCTTCAGCTGAGGGGAAAAAAAATAAAGGGTGGAGGGGGGGAAAAAAACCCCCCCCCCCCACGCAGCGACTCTTCTATTTTCAGACACAAAAGGTTTTGAGTGTTCATGAGAATAAATTAGCTTAAAAGTTACTGACAAGCAGGTTTTTGAGCAATCTGAAACAGAACAAGCCTGTTCCCACCCAGTGGATTTGTTTATTCCTTGGGAATGGGGAAGAGGTGGCTTCAGGGAGGCAGCACATCAGGGTAAAATCCACCTCTAAATCCAGTGGAGCTGGGGCAGAAACTGGGAAGTGCTTTTAATGTTGGAAATGCCTCATTTCAGCACGTTGGAATTAGAAACTGGCCAGCTCTGTAGCAAGGCTAAACTCAGCCAATTTAAAGGAATAAATAAATGGTGCTGGAAATAATAATAATAATAATAATAATAATAATAATAATAATAATAATAATAATAATAATAGTCCTTAAAGAGAAACTTTCAGTATGATCCAAGACGATTATTTCAATTCTTGGGTTCAGTTGCCAATTTGGAAAATCCAGTGTTTCCTCAGTCCTGGATGAAGCAGATCCCTTGTCAGGAGGTTTCTTTGACCTCTGCTTGCTCTCTGGCTCCATCCCTCCTGCCCCACTGCTCATTTCCCACCCCAGCACCTCACAGCCCTTCCCTCTCCCCAGAACATCTGGCACCACAACACAGCCCCAGCCTAGGCAGGTGGTTACTCACCTTGACGAAGGGGAAGGCAGCCCCAGGGAGGAAGGGCTCGTTCTCATGGTCCAGCTGGTACTTCACATAGGCCTCCACCCCTTGCTCACTGTAAATCTTCTGCTCCTCCTCCATGCGGAAAAGCGCCCGCGAGGACACGGCGATGGTGATGGCGTTCTCAGGCTTGGGCTGCAGGGAGGGGGACAGAATGGGGAGGCAGCCCCTGCACCCAGCCCCTGCACCCAGCTCCAGCAGCCCTGCAGGCATCTCTGAACATCCAACGTGAAAGGCCACAGGGTGGGTGACACCCCCGTGGTGACTGGGAGGATAACGGGGCCACTGCAACCCTGGTCTGCTGAGGCTTCAACAGACGAAGCCCTGATGTGCTGTGCCTGGATGGGCAGGATACCTGAGAGCCGGAAAAGCGCCGCGAGGACACGGCGATGGTGATGGCGTTCTCAGGCTTGGGCTGCAGGGAGGGGGACAGAATGGGGAGGCAGCCCCTGCACCCAGCTCCAGCAGCCCTGCAGGCATCTCTGAACATCCAACGTGAAAGGCCACAGGGTGGGTGACACCCCCGTGGTGACTGGGAGGATAACGGGGCCACTGCAACCCTGGTCTGCTGAGGCTTCAACAGACGAAGCCCTGATGTGCTGTGCCTGGATGGGCAGGATACCTGAGAGCCTTTTTTGTGGAATCCCAGGATGGTTTGGGTTGGAAGGGACCTTAAAGATGACCTAGATCCAACCCCCTGCATGGGCAGGGACACCTCCCACCAGCCCAGGTTGCTCCAAGCCCCATCCAACCTGCCCTTCAACACTGCCAGCATCAACAGCCTCCCTGGGCAACCTTCTCCAGTTCCTCACCACCCTGAGAGTGAAGAATTTCTTCCTAATATCTCACATAAATCTCCCCTCTCAGTTTCAATCCCATTCCCCTTGTCCTCTCCCTCCCTGCCCTTGTCCCAAGTCCCTCCCCAGCTTTCCTGGAGCCCCTTCAGGCACTGGAAGGTGCTCTAAGGTCTCCCTGGAGCCTTCTCTTCTCCAGGCTGAACACCCCAACT